AACGTTTTAGTATTAAAAATATCAAAATATTTAATAATAATTATGTGATGAAATTAATAAAGTTAGAGTCTAAATTATACCTTACATATTTAATAGTTGTAATTAAAAATATTTTAATATTTTCAATATCAAAATGTAAAAAATGTTTAGATACCTTAATTTTTCTTTTTCTCTATATAATAAATAAATTTTTAAATAAAAAACAAAAATATATAATAATATTATGTTATAAAAGTATAAATACAACATTACATGTGTGTGATAATAACTGTATTATTTTTATATTTCGTGTGATTATAAAAAGATATTTTTAAAAATTAATCCTTTCAACGAGGCTAAATATGACTTAAAGTTATTTACCAAAAAAGAAAAAAAAATAGCTTAAAGTTATTTTCTTTATTTATTGGGTCAAACTGAGACAGCGGATGTCTGGCCAGTAGAAAGGAAACAAATAGTAAATTTAAAAAATGAAAGAAAAGAAATGATATACCTAGCAGTTTCCGGCATCAACATCCGCCAATAATAAGTCAATGCAGCCGGAACGCCGCCCATCATCAGAATCAACCGCCACGAGATGTCGGCAGCGTCCGGCGTGTAATCTTTTGAAGCATGCGATCCCTTCTGAAATATGGAGCAAATCACCATTGTCATAGCCGAGCTCGCCAAAATCCCAAACCCCTGCATCGAAAACACTGCCGCTATGAACGCACCACGTGTCCTCTTGTTGGCAAACTCCGACATGATTGTTGCCGACAGCGGGTAGTCTCCGCCTATACCCAACCCCAGCAAGAACCGGAAGAACCCCAGACTCAACAAGACACAAAGTTGTGTCCTGCAAATGGAGAACCCGCAGGCAAGAGAACTAAGAACCATGATCATCAGCGACAGTCCATATACACGGCGCCGCCCTTTGTAATCGCCAAGGATGCCAAACACGAGTTGACCGATAACTGTGCCTACAAGGGCGACAGCAACCAAGGCGGAGGTGACTTGAGTGGGGAGTTCTTTGTTGTCATGGTATAGGTGTCCGAGGAGTCTGACTATAGGAGGGATGCAGAAGAGATCGTAGGCGTCCGTGAAGAGACCCATGCCAGCGATGACTATGGCCTTGAAATGATAATATTGGGTTCTCGCGGAGTCAAGCGCAGAAAGAACCCTTAACGGCATGGTTTTGGCTGGTAATGAATGGCTAGCTAGCTAGGAGGAAGAAAGATGTGAGATTGTGAGGAATTGAAGTTGTGTTATGTATATAAATATATGTTCAAATAATAGTGCAACAACCAGAATGATTTAAGGGAGAGAAGCTTATGCATCCATGGGATACCACATCAGTCGTATTTCGAGCCAATAAAAATACACCATTTCAGTATTTTTGTTTCACATTTCATCAATCATTTGATGAAAAAAGCAGAGATGGCATGCTTTTATTGGCTGACGTAATATCCCGGTGATACAACAAAATTTTTCGATTTATGGAAAGGGACTAAGAGAGATGGAAGGTAATTTCGTGAATGTGATCGGAAGGGAGACTGCTGACTTTGGACAAAGGATTCCGTCGATGATTCGAAGGAAGATTCGAATCAGATGATGGAGGAGTATTCATACGATGTTTCTGTGCTTCCATTTGGGGCTGAGATTTTGAAGAATGTCCCAATTGTTTCTTGGATTTATATTAATGACGATGATATTTTGTCTGACCATATTAGAAATGGGTCGGTATTTTCGGGTATAGGGGGATTCTTTCTGGACTATGTGATAAAAAATCAAAGTAAGATAAATTACATTCTCTCTAGATATGACAATTTGCTTCGATCCTCATTGGACTTGTGGGAATCTTCGTTACGAGGATGGAACGAGGATGGATATTCTTTTTCATAGGACAGGAACAAAGGGCATTTTCTCCTTGTGAAAATTGACGGGAAATTGATGGGATCCCGTGGAGATCTCCATTCTCTCAAAAAATTTAAAAATATGTAAATTAATTTTATTTTAAATTTAATTCAACCATCAAACTTAAATACAATTCAATAAAATTTAAATTTAACTTAATTTTATCCAACTCATTATTAATCTTTTAGTTATTTACATTGGATTGATCTTTATTTATATTTAAATAATTTATATTTAAAAAATTTTAATTAATTATATTTAAATTTTTAAAATTTTATTCATTATAATTAAATATTAATTAATTATATATAAAAAAAATTATTTTTTCATATTAATTGGTGCACGGGAATCCCCATTCACCACGAGAAATGGGGATGGGGGGTAACTGTTGTATACACAAATGCTTGTGGAATTATCATATCAACAACGGATAAGGTTTAGAAATGGGGATGACACCACAGATTTAATCGCGTAATGACAAAAGGTGTCAGATTTATGTTACGATCTTCCTAATCCGTGTGGACCTCT